TAAATTAATATGGATGAGAACTTTTTAATATCATCATGTTAGTTATATAGTTATTAACATGTTTGTATTACTGAAATTTATAACACACAATTATCCGTATTAATTAAATGTTTTTATTATAATACACTATTGTATATACTTATATTTATAACGCATAAATATTTGAATATAAGTTTTATTACTTATGTTTTACAAATATCTGTCAAAAAATTGTTTGTGCAAAATGGCTGCAATATATGCTGCCCATTTAAGCTCCACCTGTGTTCTGATTAATACATATAGTATTGTTAGTTATCCCTATCATTGTCTCAAAAAAAAGTTGCACTTGTGCAATATGTGGCATGCCGAACTCTTGGAGGCATAGCCTTTTGAAATGCACAACAGCCCGATGTGTGTGGTCACTGGTTGACAGGGAGCTGATTGAAGAGTTGATGGAAACCGAGGAACAAAACGCGAGGAGTTGGTTGTTTACTTTACTTGACAAGCTCTCGCATGAGAAATTTACCAAGATGACAGTCACGATCTGGGCTATATGGTGGGCGCGGCATAAACATCACGAAGGAATTGACCAAAGCCCTCTGTCCACGTATATGTTCATTACTCATTTCATTGCAGAACCAGGGGAGGTTAATCCCACGAGTGGGAACCGCCTAGGTAACACGACAAGAGCAACACCGAGAAGATGGATCCTGGCTGTCCAGGCCTCCAGGGTCATTTGAAGATCAATGTTGACGCTGCCATCTCGCGTGGTGCTGGGACAGCGACTGCGGTGTGCAGAGACAGCTCGGGCACATACTTGGGTTCTTCAGCATTCGTCATACGAGGTCTTACGGATCTAGCTAGCCTTGAGGCTATTGCATGTCGAGAGGGACTGTCTTTGGCTGAAGATCTTGGGCTCCAAAATCTGGTGATCGAGTCGGATTGTGAAGCAGTTGTCAAGCATATCAAAGAAGGCTCGGGTGGGAACTATGGCAGAGTAGTCAAGGAGATCTAGGAGTGGAAATCTCTCTTCAATTCCTGTATGTTTAAGTTTGAATCTAGGAGCTCAAATTTTGAGCCACATAAACTAGCTAGGCATGCTCTTATATTTGGATCAAGTCCGCCACATTTGGTTGGGGCAACCACATGATCCTAATTAATACCTGCAGACATATCGATTGATTAATAAAGCCTAACCGTTTACCTAAAAACACTTATCCCTATTAGGTAGTGGAAAATATATGGCGTAATCGTTAGACCCCATCATTTGTAGCAGGTGGTTGCGGGTTCGGAACCTGGGCGCTGACCATTTTGCTGTTATATTTTGACAGGCGGGACCCGCTGGTCACCGAGTTGAAGAATGCCACGTCAACATGGTCTTTTTGTAAAAAAATAATATTCCAAGGTTTTCTTTTTTGGAAAAAAATCAGACCACACACCCCTTCTCCTTGGTCCAATCACTGACAGCGGGTTCCACGCGCCTAGCCAACACGGATTTCATATACAAACGAGATGAACACTCTATTTGCACGCCTAAGTCACGTTTTTACAGCACTTCAATGTACGCCACAACTTCTAGATCAAAATGACTGTCTGCGCCAAATTGTGGCACCACTAGTGTAATCGACTCATAAAAAATATCCCAAAAAGGTAGTCATGCATATAATTTTTTTCTATAAAAGGCGTCATGTATTAAAGTTTGTAAATTCAAATACTAGGGCAGCAGCGATTTTTTTAACCTGAATTCTTAATCGCCCAGCTGCGCCGGATGGACGTTGCGAGCGCACACGCCAGCTGTCCCATGTTTGCCCACCTACTACGCGACAAAACTGCTAAGAAAACGGCCTCCTTCCTCCTCGCTATGTATATGGTGTTGTCAGGTGGTGCATGGTCACTAAGGATTATCTGCATGCATGTGCTGATGTCATCCCACTTTATTTCGTCTTAATTTTTTTTAAAGCTAAAACTTTTGAACCGAGTGTCAAAATGAAAATCCGTTTTCATCATTCGGTGTCTTGCGACGAGATCTTCAGAACTAGATCCCATATGTACATGTTTCGATGAATTTTTTTTAAAAGCAACTTTGGTTCCAGTCGAGGCAATTTTAGTACTAAATAGAAGCAACTTTCTTGCATCATGTGTACTAGTGAATTTACCTATCAAGTATATCATAGACAACATAAAAACCATGTGGGGCAAATTTTCATCGTATGTAGGCAACTGAGCATCATTCGTAGGCAATTTTAAAATTACATGGAGGCAACCTTCAATACTAAAGAAGCAACTTGCGTTCAACATATATTATGCATATTTTGCATTCAACCTTTAGCGTGTGTGTGTTGGCTAGCCAGTTCGCGGGTGTTGGCTAGTTGAGAAAGTGGGGATAGATGAGAAGTTGTATACATGGCGATGAGAATTTCATAGAGGACGGATTAGACAATCGCCCACAAAATTACACAAGTTGTTCATAATTTTGGCACGAGTTGCCAGCAAAAACAATTTGAATCTCTGGATATAATAATGGAAAACACACATGAGTTGCTTGTTGAATACACTAGAGTTGCACAAAAACACCCTGAAAGTTGCTAACTTTTTTTGTGTGATACTCGAGTGCATAACAATCTTAAAGTTATTGTTCTTGTTTGCCTCCAATAGCCCCATCAATGGTGAACTTAGACTTTTTCACATGTGGTTGCTTTTTTCTAGATACCAACTCAGAGTACACATGAGTTGTTTGGTGAGTGCACTGTTGTTGTATAAATACACCCCAAAAGTTGCTAACTTTTTTTGTGTACCGCTCGAGTGCATAACAATCTCGAAGTTTTCTACCACAACCAGCAAGTATTCTATCATAACTAGTTCCATCTCCATATTGATAGTGCTATAGGAAACTTACTTTCTGAGGTAGCCTGTCCTAAGTTGCCTATCATGATTAGTGAGTAGTCTAATCTTATCCTATGTTGCATAGAATACCTGTTCGTTATGATAAACAACTTAGTTTTGTATATAGGCAACTTAGCAACATTGACAGGCAACTTTTTAATATATTTTAGGCAACTGAAATATTAATGACAGTCAACTGAGCATCTCTGATAGGCAACTTCATAGTGTTTCTAAGCAACTTAGAAAAAAGCAATGATAAGCAACTTCATAATATTGTAGTGAACTAATTACAAAGTTAGACAACTGAGCAGCAGTGGTAGGTAACTAATTACCAATAGCAGATAACTAGACATCAATGGTAGGCCAATTTCATAGTATTGTAAGCAACTGGACATCAATGATAGCCAACTAAACATCCAGGGTAGGCAACTGAGCAGCTATGGTAGCCAAGTTGTGATAATGTTAGCAAACTTCATTGATACACGTAGTGCAATGAAGTTGCTTATATGTAGCACTAAAGATGCCTCATATTTTGTGTGATTTTCTCATTTTTTTACACTAACCAACCTAATAGGTAGTCCTACTAGGAAAAAAATGAAGTTGCCTTCCTATAGCACTAAAGTTGCCTCCATCGGACCCAAAGTTGCCTCGAAAAAAAGTTCGACGAAACCTATCAATATGAGAGCTAGTTTTGAAGAACTCGTCGCGAGAAACCCGGATGTGAAAACGAAACTGAATTTGGACGCTTCAATCAAAAGTTACAGTTTTTTAAATTTTTTGAACACCCAAATAAATGAATGTGCGGACAAGATTCTTTTTTTTTTGTGGATCACATCAGACGCGTCGGCTGCTCCTTTCATATTTGGAAGAGCCCTCCTTCCCATCAGCGGGCGCTCGGGCGCCGCTAGCCACGTCTTCTTTTTAATTACTGGCCCTAATGCATCAGTGCCACACTACTGTAGTCACACTTTCGCCACAGTTTTCTCGCATTAACAGATTATTAGGAAGGCGTTTACGAAAAGTTGCTTTCGTTAAGAAAAGCGTATCAAGTTCCATCACCAAAAGCGTATCCCGGAAGTACGCTTGCAAGTTGGAGAGGCGTGTTCCCCGGGAGATAGGTCTCCCTCCTCTTTGTAGCCGCGGGGCCCGCGTGTCATCGTAACGACGGTCTCCGAGGCACTATCCGCGAAGTCCAAACCATCCGCCTCCGCCACCGCCGGCTGCACACTCGCCGAGCAGCCGCTCACCGATCGAGAGCATGCAGCCGCCGTGCCTGGGCGCGTGCGGGGGCAGCCCCGCCGTCCTGGGCGCCAGCGCCCACTGCCAGCGCCCCTCCACCTCTACCAGGGTTACCGTCCGGTGCGCCGCCCGGGGCGGGAGGGCGTCGTCCAGGGGGAAGGAGAACGTCTGGAGCGTAGACAACGAACGCGCCGCCGAGCAGAAGTCTCGGTCCCAAAAGAGTCACCGCGGGCGGAGGCGCCCGGCCGGCCGCAGCAGGCCGCCCCCGCCGCCGAGGAGGAGGAAGGAGAATGACGCGGGCTCGAGGGTTCTGGTCTCCGGTGCCATGCTGGTGGAGGTCGAGACCGTGCTCCAGACCCAGGTACACCGATGTTATCACTATCTAACTGTAGCTAGTTGGACTCTTATTTGTGCTATGGACAGGCGTGTGTAGTTTGGCCTGCAAATCCATTTTGGGGGTTATCCTGACGATTCTCCAATTTCATCCTGCAAAATCTTCCCAGTTATGCGGGTTGATAGGGATTATGAGTTCAATTTATCCATTTAACCAACGCCTGCTGCCAGTCCCTGCCTGCTGCAGAGTTGGACCAGCTAGTTTGTAGTCCACTGTGCAGTGTGCACCTCGCAAAGCATGTCACTCACTTGCGATGGGCTAGCTTCAGAAGTTCAGATAGTGGGATACCATGGAGAATGACTTGTGGCGAAGCAAACTTGCAATCAAATACTAGCAGTTACCAGGCCAGTAAATCCTATCCAGTTGATGTAATTTCTGATATATTGAGTATTGCCTTCTTTTATCTTAGGAATCTGTATTAAGGCCTTCCTGGGATACATTTGCGAGTAGCTTAAGTGGCGTATGGAAGGGTGTCGGAGCTGTGTTCTCACCAATCACAGCAGAGATGGAACCTGTTGGACTAGGAAGCAAACAGGAGTATCTTTATGATTGCTACACCCTTTCTCTCATTGAGAAGTCGTATGATAGTGGTCATGGAACCGAGATCCGAAGGAAGACAAATTGGGTGCAACTCAATCCTCACGGGGAAGCTGAGAAGCAGAGTGCCAGCGATGATGAATGGAATCATGGTAGCTCAAGTGGGACTGTTGATTTACCTGCACATGAATATTTTGATCTTAAAAAGAGCGATGTACTCGATGAAGATGTTATGATTGAAGAACCAGGGATTGTATTTTTTGAGGTAAGATTCTTTTCTCTTCACCCATTTTTTCTGCCCTTTTCAAATACTCCCAATGCTTTTTGAAACATCTTTTCTTGTTCAGCTCTTGAAAGTTGCAATAGATGATTGACCTTACTTACACTGTATATTTTATTTAGCCATAACTAACTGAACCAAAAATATGATTGCATTCCTCTTTACTGTTGTAATCTAGAAGTTATAACCACAGCCTATTTCCTGATGCTGAAAATAGAACGCTTAGATGGTGTTTTAGAAAAGGCAGTTAGTTGTGATGTTAAACCTTGAACCTCTCAGCAGGTTTGCTTCAGTAGCAGCACCTTATTAAGATGCTCATAGTGCCTGCTCACTTTTCAGAGTCTGTGGAAAATCATGAACCATGGTGGTCTTTTTTGGATATAGTTTGCATAGCTTAAGCTCTGTCCTTTTCTAAAGACGAGTTTAACTTGAACAGCTAGTTTGTATTCAAGCAAACTTTCTTTTCACAAACGAGCCACGCAAGAAAAACTGAAACAGATCCTAGGAGCTTCCAGACAATCTGTAGAGTTATCTCCTTAGCCTTACCCTACAACTATAAGGCAGATAATCTAGCTCAGAAAATACGTTTCCCCCATGTCAAACTAGCCATGCAGCTCCTGACCTTTCGTTCCTCCCCATGTAAGTTAAATATATTGTTGACATTAAGTATATCCATTACTGTTCAATCACATTTGTTCGCTGTAAGACTGGGTTATCATCTCCCCTAATTAAATTCAGTAATGTTACACATTTCCTGTTTTGTCGAATTATCGACTTATTCCTCTGGCCACTGCATTTTTCGTTTTCAGGATGGATCATACTCTAGAGGTCCACTCGATATCGAAATCGGTGAATATGATGAATCTAAATACTTCCTTTCACCAACGTATCAGTTTGAGCAAGTATGTTTTCTCTACTGAACTTTACTATCTGCCCCAAAAACTGAATTTCTGTTCAGTAAAATACTGCAATGTTGACTGAGAATTAGTCTTTTGCCTGATGCTTTCCTTTGAGATCTGTTTTTTTTTTTGCTTTTTACAAGAGGAACAAAACTAGACTCATGTGATAACTATTGCATAGACATGTGAATTGCTCTTATGAATCATACAGACGCTTAAACAGCAAACTCAACATTGATGCTGGTATACATGCTTTTGATGATGTGCTAGGGACTCCTCCTCTTTCTTTGTTTTGTAACAACAATCTGTGCCAGCTAGTATTATGGAATCATATTGCAGAGGTAGCTACTAATCAACTAGTTTGTGTTCAAGAATATGATTATCATGTTGGCCTTTTGCTGGAGAGTCTGCTCCAACTGTTATGGGAATGAATTATTGAGGATCATGTATATGTATAAATATAATACATTTCATGTGTAACTGCCTTTAACTTTCTCCTTTCGACACTTTGTGTTGTCTGTGGGTTTGGATTTGTCAATCCATAACTGACAATGACATCGAGCTTTGTTTTAGAGTTTGGTCAAAGGATGCCACAAAAGACTGCGTATTGTGCATACCATTGAATTCAGTGAAGGAGGAGCGAATATACAAACTGTAAGGGTTGCTGTGTATGAAGAAAAATGGGCTAGCCCAGCAAATATCCATGTTGAAGAGTATGATTCCTGTTGCCCCGTACTACAAGTTTATCTGTTTTTCTGCTCATGACATATATCTTTATTGCTATTCAGCAATCATGACTCAGGAGGAAACTGTACAGATTGAACAATGATGAATTGGTTTACTAATAGTGTCAGATTGGTGCCACCAATCTAGAAAGGACACAGAATATCATAACACAGACTGTAGTTTGTTTGCGACGAATTAAAACAAGGCTAATTGAAAACTTGGTTTACTGCTGCTTGATTTCATCCTTTGAAGATGCTTTCTACTTTCACAGCATTGAAGACATTCTCATCTACAGCTTGAGCATGCTTTTTCCTCATGATCTGAACTGTCTTATATATCGGCCTCCTATAGTTTGGCAACATAACTTTCATGTCTCAGCAGCTATTCTTTCACGCACAAGAACCATCAGCCTTTTTGTAGATTAATGAACTAATTATGCTTGGTCTTCCTGAATAGCATGTTTTCTTTTTGCAGTAATACCCCTGTTGACGTCAGTCCTTTCTCTCAAAGAAAGCGGACAAAACCATCAGAACTGACAGGCCCCTGGAAAGTATATGAAGTCAGTGCAACACCAATTTTCAGCGAGAAAGTGAAAGAAATAGAGGGTGGAGCCGCCTTTGTATACTTGTGCATGGAGACCATGAAGAAGAGAAGCTTGCCAGAGAGCTCTGTTTTCTTCGGGGAGGAGGAGATGCTCGATATGCAAGACGTGACTATACTTTGGTTGCCTGGAGGCGTCACCGCCTATGTTGACGTAGATAAAGACGGTATACTCTGCATCGGAGTTAGTTGGTACTCGGAGGAAGGGATTAATCTGGTGATGGAGAGAGATTATGGAACCGATGGGAAGCTCAGGGAGGTTCGGACAAAAACTGAAATCAAGCGCAGGTGGAATCAACCACTCCCACCATAGTTCAAAGAAATCACTACGCCACTTTAAGCTTTCTGTTTGTAGTAACATCTGTTTCTGGATATTAGTATAGGAGCAATAATGTCTATGGATGTGTGAGTTCCAATAAAATAGTGCTCCAGTTGATGTACTCCATCATAGATCAGTTGTAAAACCTTTTGCCTCTGTTGAATGCGCAGGCTTCGGTTTCATCAGAAGGAAAAATGGGCTGAAAGAGAGCCCAGGAAGGCGACCTAGGCATTTGCTTGCCATGTGCATGGCCATATTTTATGCATAGAATAGTTCAATTTAGAATGGTTAATTTAGGCCACTTGCTCCACATTGTACTTTATCTAGATCTTGGCTTCTTGGGGGACAAGATTTATGACCATGGTCAGTGTTTGTGAGTATAAAATAGCCTGAACTACTGTGATGACAGATAAAGGTATAACCGTATACAAAAATGTTAGCCATCAGGCACTACCATGTGCAAGGTAACCCCTCTGATCACATCTGACTTCTTTTTTCTGATTTACTTCAGACTGTCGATATAATGTTTGCTTAGCTTGATCGCTGGAGAACAGGGGTGGACCTGGACCATGGTCATGACTGGTGGAGCAGATGTAGGAGGCCCAGCTTTGGAAGATGCAACCAAGGTACTTAAACCTTGAGAGAGACGATGAAGAACATTGCTACTTTTCCGTATAAAATTTGAAACCGTCGATCAATTTGATAAAGAAGAGATGCATATGGTTTCGTGATTAAAGATTGATGCTAGAAAGGTGGACTATAACAAAGGAGTACCATTCGCATTGCTTTATTTCGCCGAATATCACTAATGGGGAATCTAGTGCTTGCAGCAAAGAACACATGCTAAAAAGGAGCACGGCACGGTCGAAGTACTCCATGAACAGGCTGTTTGGCAGTACAAGCTAGATGTTCAAAGTTTACACAGTAGGAGGGAATTATCGTGTTGATGTGCGCTAACGCTTTACGTGCGCTCTACCCCATTCTAAACTGGTTATGCTCGCCGCCTAAAGCAAGCTTCAAGCGCAAGGTAAGCGTTCTCGGCCACGGGATGATCGATGACCACCTTTTAATTTCTTGCCGTTACCTTTGCAAGTAGTTTAGCTTTTCCCCCGTTACTTTTGCTAACTTGTATTCCCTTTGTCTGGAAATACTTGTCATTAAAATGGATAATAGAAGATGTATCTAGAGAGTAGCTTGTTTTTCGAGGATAATTTTTGGTAGCTAGCTTTTGGTTTCCCTCTGAAGACATGGCGCTCCAGCTGTTCATTTCTTTTTAAAAAAAATCAGCAAGCTCGACTCCAAATAAATAAATAAATGAGCAAGCTAATTTGATTTCAATTTTCTGCAGACATACGGCCAATGGATGGAGCGAAAATGTAGCAGAAATTTGGGGTGTTTTGTGATAGCGGTTAGCGCTCTGTTTTTCTCTTCCTGTGGGCATGTGGGTTGTTTGTCAAAAGAAAAAACACACGAGGAAATTAATTTTGGTAGCGGGAATCATGGGCTAATTGCAGGGGGTTAACGGGTGGTCAGATCTGGCTAAAAACGGATAGCAACGGGACACGAGCGCAACTATCCATCCATCCCCAGCGGACAAGGCGAGGCAGGGGCAGGCCGCCACCCCCGTCGGCATCCGCCCAGCCATCCAGAAGCGCCAAAGCTGCCAACGCCAACGCGACGGGAGATAAGAGGAGGAGAGAAGAGGCCGCCGCGGCGCCGAGCCCTCGTGTCGTCGTGCAGCCCCGCTCCCACCCGGCCACGCCCCCCACTTTCCCCCCCGTGATCCGCCCGTGGGATCTCCCGCCCGCCCGCCAGGATCAAGCCGCGGCCCGAGTCTGCCATGGGGATCCCTCGCTGATCGCGGCGCGTAGGCAGGCGGGCACCGCAGGAGGAGGAAGAGGGAGGAGGGAGGGGGACGGGGGAGGGCAGCGCCGCATGGAGCAGAATGGCGGCTCCTTCCTCGCCGTGCGCCGGCTCTCCGGCCACCACCACCCATCGCCGGGTACGTGGGGCACGTGGGTGCGTGCGTGCGTGAGGCCGCTCCGATCCCTCTTAGCTTGTTCAGGAAAGAGGCTGACGAACGTCCATGGGCGTTTTTTTTCCTTTTACAGCGGATGTCGTGTCCGGGTCGACGGCGTGGATCGGGAGGGGATTCTCCTGCGTCTGCGTGCAGAGGAGGGACAGCGACACGCGCATTTCCTTCGATCTGACCCCCATTCAGGTGAACGGTGCTCGGTATTTGTTGAGGTAGTAATCACGCGATTGCTTTTCGAACATGAATGCAAAGGATAGCTGGAATCGCAGCGGGTGCAACCGTCGTGTTTCATTGTATTTGTGCTTAGATTACGACAGGATGTATACAATGGTCCAACAAATACTGCTCTCCGGAATTGGCATGTCACATGTGGTAGTCTTTAGGACTTTGAACTTAGAAGCTACCATTAAAGAAAAAAATACTTAGAAGCTTCCTATGACAGTAATGGATTTTGTATTGCAGGAAGAGTGCCTACAAAGATTACAGAACCGGATTGAGGTGCCTTATGATAGTCAAAATAGAGAACATCAGGTATGATCCGTGGATGGTGTCTCCACCAATGTGTTTGATTGTCGGTTGTAGTGTGCTATTTCTGTATTTCAGACACCCCATATTGCTCTATTGTAAGATGAACACAGGGTATTCCTGTTAAAATCTCATGACAAGCTTTGTTCTCTGATTATAAGGCTGGCCAGTGTTGTCTGACATTGTATAGTGTGGTACCTAACAAAATGGCTGTGCTCTCATGTTTGCTTTTATAGAACAGAGTAATATGATGTTCCCAGGGTATCAGGATTTACTGAATGTGTGTAACTCAGTAAATCAGTTTAGTTAGACTACTGTGCCCGTAGATTGTTCAAAGTAGGGGAAGTGATTTCTGGCATGAGTAAATTGACCAAAAATGATCCTGCAGCGCACCAGCACAAATCCTTGCTTATAATTTGTTCTCTGTTACTATTAATAGTTCATATTGATCTAGCAAACCTGAACATACATTTCAAATGCTACATTTGATAACCCATTCATCACACCTTTTGTTCATTAGGAAGCACTCAAAGCCCTTTGGCATGCTTCTTTTCCTGGGACTGAACTTCTAGGACTAGTATCAGATCAATGGAAGGAGATGGGATGGCAAGGGAAAGATCCATCCACAGATTTCAGGTATTGTTCCGTTCCTTCATTCCCGCACATGCCCTTTACGAAATAAACAATTTATTAGTTAAATTTTGGATCCGGAATCATATATTGTGCTGGAATTACAGGGGTGGTGGCTTTATCTCTTTGGAGAATTTACTTTACTTCGCTAAGAACTATCCAGTGAGTACAAATCTCTTTACGTAAATGCTGGTTCAGATTCATCGCTGTTTCTCTCCAATTGCTAGGTTTCAATGATTTTCTTTTAGCTAGAGCAGGGAAGAATCTAAGGACTCATGCGATATACAGTTATACAAATCTATTCAGCTAGCAATGGAACCTTGTCTCCTTCGAAAATTGAACAGCTAATGATCCTTTGCTAATAACTGCAATGTATAATATTTATTATCGAACTATTAAGATAGGTAATGTTTATATTTTTGTATGTTTGACCTTTCATTCATCTCAATGAGGCACTTTCTGTGCAGAAATCCTTCGAGGAGCTCCTTTGTAAGCAAAATGGTGACAGAGCATTATGGGAATATCCATTTGCTGTAGCTGGAGTAAATATTACATTTATGCTCATTCAGATGCTTGATCTTCAAGCAGGTTTGTTCATTAAACTTTTCTGTGCTTCTTGATTAGTTGATGTATTTACTTCTATGTAACCTTCCCCTTGGGCAAATTTTCTAAACTGTGAGACTGGTTTTGCTGTTGCAAATATCAACAATGGCACAGTGACTAATACTGATTTCTTCTGCAGCTAAGCCAAGGTCTTTGATTGGAGCAGTGTTCCTAAATCTACTTATAGGTACAGTCTACTGTCACATTTGTGCAAAATTGAAATCTTACATGGCTACTATACGAACCTTTTGTCCCAGAATAATTGTACAGTACAGTAGTTTTATGCGGTAATCTACATCAATTGTAGGTAATTAATGACTGATTAAAGGTTCAGTGCTTGTTAACAAGGCAATATCCTTACAGCTGATCTTGTGGGCTCAGTTGAATGGCCTAACTTTGACTGTTCTCCATGCTTCAATGCACAGCGATTATAAGGGCAGTTGAAGACTTGGCCATAAGTAAATTTAATTTAATTCCATAACATGGAAATTAATATCCTTAATATTGGATGACATCATAGGTGTAATAAATAACACACCATCTTATTACGGGCGGCCTGCTCCTACTGTAACTGTAAGTGTACCCCTAGCTACTAACATCTAACCATTGTTCTTTTCTGCAGAAAACGATCGGGCTTTTGATATTCTTTACTGCATAACTTTTAAGCTGATGGATCGGAAATGGCTTGAAATGCACGCCACATATATGGATTTCAATGTATGCCTTTCTTCAGTATGCATTCTCCTTGTCACATCCTTCGTACAGAGTCCCTTCTTTTCTGACCAAATTGGTATACTCTCATTGCAGACTGTTATTAAATCCACACGACGCCAGCTTGAGAGAGAGCTATTACTTGAAGATATTCAGCAAATTGAGGACATGCCGTCATACAATTTTCTCGCCCGTTAGCAACTGAAGTCTTGCCTAACATCGCCACGTGTAGTAAAGTTCTTGATACATGCTTCTAATGAGTGGAATGTAGGAATCAGGGACTCGTGCTTGTGTGGTTTTTGCTATCGTGCTTAGGTACTCTGATATCCTGAGCGCATGTTTGGGTCTTCTTGGATCTGACCTCTAGAGTAACTGGCTACCTGAACAGCAGTTGGGCCATGCTAGTGCCTGTAGGATGTACTTTCGGAAACAATTTGTCCTGGCGCGGAGTCTTCGTGCTAGGAAATACTACGTAGTAAGTTCTGAAACTCCTCAGTACTCAAGACAGCTTTGTAGCCAAGTGCATAAATGATATTGGTGCACTCTCGTTTTGCACTAAACACACGTTTTGTGTGATTTATCCATGGATTGTACTGACATTGTCGAGTTGGTTCAGCCAAATAAGAGAGGTCGGCTAGACCAAACTTCAAAAATAAGAGGTCGGGTAGACCAAACTTGACGTGTTTAGGAGGAATTATGATAAGGTCTGTGTGCATACACAAGGAAAACGAAGCAGTCATGATCTAATAAAAGGTAGCCGGCACTTTTTGATTGCAGACTTTGCAGATAATTTTTAAATCCAGTGGAAGCGTGAAGCTTGTCATTCAATATTTCAGAGCCTCCTCTTTTTTGGAAAAGGATCCAGCTCTGTTCTAAAAGTTCTCTAGAAGTATAAAACATCTCAAGCAACAAACATAATAAAAATTACATTGAGGCACATAGATCACCGAACGATCACTATTGCTACTAGAATGAGACGCTTGGAGCCGGCTTAGATTTTATTGTTGACAGTCGAGAAGCCTTTATGCACGTGCGTGACGTGTCCCTGAGGACTAGCGCTTTGGAGCCGCATTCGTCACTGCATCAGACACCAAATTTCGCTAGACGACGAGAAATCCTAACCTCATCGTCCCAAGGAGACGACATGAGTCTACCCGAAGCTCCGTCTACTACGTCTAGATGGACAAACTCAAGGATGATTGAAGCCCCGAAGACAATCTCCAAGAAGAAGCGCCCCGAAGACAATCTCCAAGAAGAAGCGTCGACATTCACCCGAGCGCCGCACCTACCGGACTAAAAAATCACTAACCTAAACTATTAGCTGAAGCGGAGGCACTAGGATTCCTCTCCCGTCATCGGTCGATGGAGTGGCAGACAGAGGAGAGGCGAATCCATCGGTCGATGGAGTGGCAGACAGAGGAGAGGCGAATCCTAGAGGAAAGAGTTTTAGAGCCTCTTTGATGCCAAGGATTTTCGTAGGAATTTTGAATAATTGAATAATATGATTTTCTTTCCTATGTAACCTAGTTGACTTGTACGTAGGGTTGAATACACAAAGAATAACAACAATTTTTTTAGTCCCAAACAAGTTGGAGTTGCCTAGAGTGATGTTGTAGAGTCCCAAAGAAGTTGGGGTAGGCTAGAATTGAAATGCGTAAGATCTCGTAACCTAGTCACATACCCACATGGTTAGTTTTTTTTCTTCTGATATTCATGTCCTTCAGGTCTCTCCTTACAAACTCCTCTCATGTCAAGTTTGGTCTACCCCGGTCTCTCTTGATATTATCAACACACTTTGTCCTTCGCTATGCACCCATGCTTCTAGAGGATTTCGTTGTTGTATGTGGCCAAACCATATCAAACTATGTTGGACAAGCTTCTCTTTAACTGGTGCTTCCCCAACTCTATCATGTCTATAAGCATTCCGGACCCGGTCCTTTCTTGTGTGGCCATATATCGTCCATCTAAACATGCACATCTCTACTACATCTAACCGTTTGACATGTTGGCTTTTAATTAGCCAACATTCAATATCATACAACACCACGAATTTTATCACTGTCCTATAGAATCTGCCCCAACATGACGCAAGCCCCTCACCCCACGGGTGTCCCTCCTTCCAGAAGACTCTTGGCTTGCCGGGCAAGTCAGGGACTCTCGGTCCAAGTTAGACTCTAGGTCGGTAAGGAAACCGTGTAACCCTAGGCTTCGTCCCCCTTTTATAAGGCGAGGCCCAGGGCTAGCTTAAGGCACCTTAAGTTTTCAACCCTAGTCTCGATAGAATCTATAGCAACTCCATTGTACCCCATCATACGAGGCGACCCATACATCAATTAAATCCAAGCAGGATAGGATATTACCTCCATGATGAGAGCCCGAACATGTGTAAATGCTTTGTGTGCAATCCCTTTTGGCACTTCCGGTCACGTGCACCGCCATATTAGGACTACTTCCAGTTTTTCGTACCGACAGTTGGCACGCCAGGCACGGGCTGTGCCGACCGAAGATCCATCCCAAATCGGATCTCTAGCTCAATCTAACTATATACATTGGACCAAAAGTTCACCTTTGGCTCCTTGAACTTCATCGCCGACGCGATGGGACTGCCCGACACCGGCTCGCTTCCCCCATGGGCCAGGATCTCCCCTTCGGGGACCTATAATCCATCATCAACTAACTCAGCGGCGCCGGTCCCCAGGCCTCGGTATTATGCTAGGAACAAAAGATGGCTCCCGCACCTTTCCCAGAACCAGCACTCTAGCTCGGTCGCTCGCTCCGTCCTCCCAGTCAGACAAGGCAGTGGGATCGTCATCAACCCACAACCCCCCCACGTTCACGGGGTGAGTATGATAGTCCGTGGAACCACAATCTTCTTTAACAAGTCCGATCACCCGGACTACATTCCTCATGCAGGAAATTTCACCCTGGTGCTCGACCCCATCGTCGGGGGCTACCTTTTACCAAAAGTCCCGGTGGACGGCGGCAACAACATCAATATACGCTAACATGTTGGGTGTCTCGGCTAACATCACCGAGTATAGCCTTGACGTCATAAAAGGTGCTCGACTAGTGAAACAATCCCTATGTCGATTTGTGCCTGAAAAACACGGAGCAGTCAGAGAAGAAATAGCCCTGCTCCTAGCTGCTGGCTTCATCAAGTTGGTCTATCACCCCTAATGGCTAGTGAACACAATTATAATCTGAAAGAAAGCCTAACTTGGCGTATGTGCATCGACTTCACTAATCTCAACAAGGCATGCCCAAAGATCTATTTCATTTTCCCCGCATCGCCCAAGTAATCGACTCCATGACAGGATGTGAGCAACTATGTTTCCTGGATGCCTACTCTGGTTATCACCATATCAGAATGAAGAAGTTCGATCAAGATAATATCTTCTTTATCACTCCCTTTGACCCCTTCTACTATAGCACCATGCCTTTTAGGCTTAAAGCGCGGGCGCAACATACCAGTGCCCAATGCAGAAGTGGCTCCATGGTCAGATCTCAACATTGAGCTATGTTGATGATGTGGCTGTCAAGACACGTAATGGGGATAACCTGCTCACCGACCTTGCTAAATTTTTGCCAACCTACGGTGGCTCTAGATTAAACTCAACCCAGACAAGTGTGTATTTGGTGCCCCCTCGGGAAAGCTTTTAGGTTTCATCATCTCCCAGCGCAGGATTGAGGCCAACCCTGATAAAATCAAAGCGATCTCCAAATTGCCCCTAAGAATTTGCACTAAGTCTAGAAATTGGTCGGTGTTGTCAGCTCCAAGTCACTTCATCTCATGGCTCAGAGAAAAAGGGCCTGCCACTTTGCCAACTTCTAAAGAAACAGAAAGTTTACCTAGATCCATAAGTCCCACCCTGCTCTAGATGATCTCAAATGATTGCTTCAAAGGAACTCACTTCTAGCTGCGCCACGGGAAGCTGGGCCAATGCTTTTATACATATCACCTACCACTCAGGCCATCAACGTGGTCATGGTGGTAGAGAGTGAGGAGCAAGCACACGACCAAAAAGTCCAGCACTTGGTATACTATGTTAGCGAGGTGTTGTCGCCCAACAAATCAGCTGCTCGCACTACCAGACTTACGGGGCATTCATGTAAGTCGGAAGCCGCTACACTAGTTCGCTGCTACACTAGTTCCAAGATAATCCCATCACCTTGGTTAGCCATGCCCCCTTGTCAGCCATCATTTATCATAGGGACGCCACGAGTCAGGTTGCCAAATGAGCAATCAAACTTGTATCATTTGAGATCAACTACAAACCTTATTATGCCATGAAGTCGCAGGCCATGGCTGACTTTTTTGTGGAGTGGACAGAAGCCTAGCAAATCCCTCACAATATCGACCTTGAGCATTGGACGATGTATATGCTTCGAGGCTTAGGATCTGAAGTGCTCCTCATATCCCCAAAAGGAGAAAAGATGAGCTGTATGCTCCAAATACACTTCTCAGATTCAAATAATATAGCAGAATACAAAGCCCTTGTCACTCGAAGGACAAAAAATATAACAGGACATCCACAAAAGTGCCTGCGGACATCACACAACCCGTGCATACGGGTTGACAAGGTCTTCCTGTTGGAAATATGCCTAGAGGCAATAATAAAGTGGTTATTATTATATTTCCTTAATCATGATAAAGGTTTATTATTCATGCTATAGTTGTATTGATTGGAAACTTAAATACATGTGTGAATACATAAACATATACCAACTCCCTAGTAAGCCTCTACTTGACTAGCCCGTTGATCAAAAGATGGTTAAGGTTTCCTGACCATAGACATGAGTTGTCGTTGGATAACGAGATCACGTCATTAGGAGAATGATGTGATGGACAAGACCCATCTGTTAGCATAGCATACGATCATTCAGTTTATTGCTATTGCTTTCTTAATGTCAAATACATGTTCCTTCGACCATGAGATCATGCAACTCCCGGACTCTGGAGGAATGCCTTGTGTGTATCAAACGTCACTTCATAACTAGGTGATCATAAAGATGCTCTACAGGTATCTCTGAAGGTGTCTGTTGAGTTGGCATGGATCAAGATTGGGATTTGTCATTCCGTATGACGAAAAGGTATCTTTGGGCCCTCTTGGTAATACAACATCACAAGAAGCTTGCAAGCAAAGTGACTAAGGAGTTAGTTACAAGATGATGTACTAAGAAACGAGTAAAGAGACTTGCCAGTAACGAGATTGAACTAGGTATGGACATATCGACAATCGAATCTCAGACAAGTAACATATCGATAGACAAAGGGAACTACATATGTTGTCATAAAGGTTTGACTGATAAAGATCTTCATAGAATATGTAGGAACCAATATGGGCATCCACGCCCCGCTATTGGTTATTGACTGGAGAAGTGTCTCGGTCATGTCTACATCATTCTCGAACCCGTAGGGTTCGCACGCTTAACGTTCATTAACAATATAATATTATATGAGTTATGTATGTTGGTGACCGAATGTTGCTCGGAATAGCAGATGAGATCACGAACAAGACGAGGAGCTCCAGAATGGTCCGGAGGTAAAGATTGATATATAGGATGATAGTGTTTGGTCTCCGAAAGGGTTCCAGAATTCACCGGAAGGGTTTCAGATGTTTCCCGAAATGTTCTGGTGCAAGGACACTTTGGTTGGGCCAAGGGGTAAGGCCCACGGGGCTTTAGGTTAGTGCAAATGGAAGTTTTGCAGAGGTCAGGGACCAGACGCCAGAGACCCTGGTGTCTGGCCCTGGGCTAGACGCCGAGGACCATGGCGTGTGGGCCAGACGCCAAGGACCATAGCATCTGGGGTAGAATCCGAGAAGGACTCTTCCTTGCATTCCAAACCGACTTTGGGGAGGCCCTCTCGCCAAGTAACGAACCCAGGGGTCAACATATAAATAGAGGAGTAGGGCTAGCCCCTAGAACACAAGTTTGGGAGCCTCCTCTAGTTGGTCCTAGTTGACTAATTAGAGCTAGCCCTAGCTACCTATAATCCTCATAATTAGAAGTCCAATTTGGTTCTAATCTCCTCCCTCTGCTAGTTCATCATCCGCTCTAAAACCATTGTGCTTGGCGAAGCCCTGCGGAAATAGTTTCACCACTTCCATCACCACACCGTCGTGCTGCCGGAACTCATCTACTACTTGCCTCCTCTTGTTGGATCAAGAAGGCGAGGACGTCACCGAGCTGAACGAAGGTGTACGATTACATCAACCGCGTTGATAAAGCTTTCGCTTAGCGATCCACAAGGGTATGTAAATGCACTCCCCCTCTTGTAGCTATGCATCTCCATGG